TTCATCTTCATCTTCATCTCCATCTTCATCTTCATCTTCATCTTCATATTCATATTCACTTTCGTCTTCATCTTTATCTTTTCCTTTATCCTGATCTATATCTTCGTTCTTTTCTTTATTTACGTATTCACGCCCACCATTGTTTTTAGGTTAAGAAGTTAAATTTTCCTTCCTCTTTGTCTTTATATTTAGGTTTCTTTACTTTTATTCTAATCTTTGCCTTTATCCCTGTCTTCTTCTACATATTCAACTTTAACTTCTTCCTTGCATGAATCTTAATCTTCATAAATCTGATTCCTAAACTGCTGCTTAGCAGATTTCTTTAATTCAATATCAATATTAAAGCATACATTTAGGAGGCATTTCCGCCCCAACCCTGTACATGTACGGCATTAGTATTGGTGTCACTTTTGAATTGATTTTTTCGCTTTATGTTAAACCAATTTGAAATTTGAAAAACTGTCTGCATATAGCATCAAAATACCTTTCTATTGATACATAATTGTTTATACCTTTGAGGTATAGTTTAGGCGTAAAATGGGTATAAAGAAAACATGATTGCCTATTTGTATATAAGATAAGATACCAAAAACCAAAAAACATATGGAAACATCATTATATTGCAATATATTCGGGGTCTTCATCAAAAGTGATAAACTGATTTAATTATCATTTTATCTCGTTTATCGGAAGGTTATCAATTTATATGAACGCCGCTATTATTTTATATTTCGTTATATAAGATTAAAAATCCTTTTTATTTTGGTTCACTTTATGCCAAATGATGTTGTCATTGATGCCACATCAAGTGATATCATGTCATGTGATGAAAATAGGTGTGGTGAGTTGCGGTGTGGTGGAATTGGGTGCGGGAGTTACGGTGTTGTGAATTCAGGTGTGGTGGGCTTAAGAGGTGTGGTGAGTTTAGGTGTGGTGAATTAAGTCGTGGTGAATTTAGGTGTGATGCATTTAGGTGTGGGGACTTAAGGTGTGGTGAGTTGAGGTGTGGTAAACTAAGGTGTGGTGAATTTAGGTGTGGGGAGTGAAAATGTGGTAGATTTAGGTGTGGGGAGTTAAGGTGTGGTAAATTAATGTGTGATGAGCTCAGGTTGAGTAAGTTTTTAAGCGGTGGTGAGATGAGTTGAGGTGAGTAAAGTTAACTTAAGGGGTTATGATCTTTATCCTTATCTTCATCTTCATCTTCATCTTCATCTTCATCTTCATCTTCATCATCTTCATCCTCATCTTCATCTTCATCTTCATCTTCATCTTCATCTTCATCTTCATCCTCATCTTCATCTTCATCTTCATCTTCTTCTTCGTCTTTATCTTTTCCTTTATCCTGATCTAAATATGTCCATTCTTTTCTTCATTTACATATTCACCCCCAGCATTGTTATTAGGTTAGGTATTTAAATTTTCCTTCCTCTTTGTCTTTATATTTAGGTTTCCTTACTTTTATTTTAATTTCTGTATTTATCCCTTTCTTCTTCTCCATACTCAACTTTACCTTCTTCCTTGTTTGAGTCTATTCTATTCATGTACATACATACATACATCTTATTCCTAAACTGCTGCTTAGCACGTTTTTTTTTTGGGTTGTAGCGTTTGTTATGGCCGGGCTAGTCCACCGGATATGGCCAGGGTAATCAAAAAATGTGTGAGTTGTTCCAATATAAAGATTTTTGCACTGTATTTATGTGCAGCAGTTTCACGTTCTTGTTGCGAAAGAGTGTTGTTGAAAGGAGTGTTCCTGTACTTTATCGATGTCCAGTTTTCTGAAGCGTTTGTTGCGGTGTTCTACTCTTGTGTGTTTCCAAACGATGATAGCGGTTTGTTGTGTACAAAAAACGAGTGTCTTGTTAGGCAGTGTATGATGGTTTGTTAGACAGTATATTCGAAACCAATATATACAAAAAACGCATTAGGCAAGATAGAATGCCTACTTCCGACGTGTGCAATGAGCAATTAATAAATCAAACAAACAAAACAAAAATAAACAAACAAAATAAAAAGTTATGCAGATCGAGCGTAGGCCCCTTCTGACGATTAACTAAAACGATACAATTTATAAAAATTGAGTTATTTGGTGAATAAAGTTATAAAGTTTAAGTTGGTAATCAAATTTGTCAATGTGTACATATTTTGTTATGTATCTTTAAAACGTTCTTTTTTCCCTTGTTTTTAAATTTCTAATTCAGCTTTTATGAAGTTGCATAAATCTTTGAGAGTTGCAGGGTCTCGTTTT